ACTCTCTGGCTCTCCTCCTGGCTTATTGATTACGTTTGGCGGGCTACTGCTAGACTTAACCTCAGTATTGAAGAGTCTGAAACTCAAATCATAAAAGCAGCTCCACATACTCTCCTCAGAGACACTAAAATTCACCTAGATAGTTCCCGAAATAATAAATTTACCAAACAAATAGACCTACTATGTAAATTACTTGTACCTTAATTTTATAACACGCATTTATTCAATAAACGGGTTCTTGCTTCACCCTCTCTTTTTGGGGAAAAAAAAAAAAAAAAAAAAAAAAATATGATTTATATAGTATCTGATATATAGATTATAAATATCTCAGATCTGTATTATAAAATTTGAATTATGACATTTCAGTCTATGTCATAAAAATTAGATCATAACATCTTAGTCTATATCATAAAAATTGGATTATGATATATATATAATCTAGACTAAGTGGAAATAATATAATTATATTATTTTCACTAGATCAATCTTTATTTAATATAAAAAAATTATAAAAATTAGTTAAAATTTGAATAATTTTTATTAGAAGTAATTATTAATATTATATTAGTATATTAATTTTTTTATACTGGATCATAATTGATTGAACTGAAATTTATAAATAAACTAAGTTCATAAAATGATTCTTTTTTATTAATATATCAAATTAAATTTTGTTTTGATTATCTAAAAATTTTTACTAATTAAAAAATTTTGATCTAAATTTTTTAATTGATCTAAATAAATTTTTAATTATATTTAAAAATTTTATATGTTTAATCTTCTTATTTAAATAGATATATAAATATTGATAAATAAAGACTTATTTGAAAGTTATAAATCAGTATTACATTTTTTTTGATCTATACTTATATATAAATAACTTATTTATTATAAAATCAATTAATAATTAATATTCATATAATAAACTGAGAATTTATTAATAATAATAATAATAATTATCTAATATTAGGATAATAAAAAATTCTTCTCTTAATTTTTCTTCTAATCTAATAGCATTTATCAAGTATAATAGAAGAGTATCATAATTGGCATAACTAGAAATATATCTATATATATATATTATATATATATATATATATATATTAATTATATATATATATGTGTATATATATATATATTATATGTATAGTTACTAACTGATATTATAAATATCCATATATAGTTATATATATGATTAAGTTTATAAATCATCATTAATTAAGGCATTTGTACTCAATAAATAATAATAAACAAATGTATTTATATAAAATATATATATAATAATAATGATAAATATTTACATCTTTATTATTTAAATTCTATATAGGAATATTTAATTAAATTAGTTATATTGCTGGATTTTGATAATAGCATGCAAAATATAAATACTGTGAAAATTTCAAATATTAATGCAATAATTCAGTAATTTGGTATAAGTTATAACTATATATATATCCAAATATCTCAATTGAAGTTAAATAATCATTTTTTGATATGAGCTTTGAAAATTGCTAATACAAGTTCACTCAATGTCAATTTGTCTGGAAGTCAACTTATACAATATAAAGCAAAATCAGATCTTTTTAGTAATATATTAATATGCAAGTGCATTGATAGTATTAATCTAATTACTTGGTGAATTGTGAATTTTGCACAAGCAGTGCCTGAATTAATACAATTAACATAATGTATCTTAACAATTCCAAAATTATTTGCAGCTTCTGAATGTAACTGGTCAGCTTTTGCAAATATTTCATAACAAAAAAAGAAATCAGTTAAGTAATAAACACATTTTTAAATTAGTTATATTTATAGTAATTATAAATTACAAATGCCTTCAGATAGTCAAAAGAATTGTCAAAAAAAAGCATTAATGATGAAATAAGTATCAATCAATATTATGCTGGTAATGAGAGTGATGAAAGCAAATATCAGGATAATAATGAAAGAGAATATCAGGATGGTAATGATAATGAACAATTTAATCTATTAGATAATATTAGAAACATCAAGTGATAGTGATAGTTATTGATAAATGTATATAATAGTTATAGAAAATAAAATCATCATGAGTTTTTATGAATTCACATCACGTATTTGATTACTATATATGTACATATAGATCATTATGCATGTATATACTATGCGCATAGTACGCAGTGATTTACTATGCGTGCATTTGCCCATCTCTAGGCATAACTGAGTTTATAAAGTGATTGAAAGTTGCTTCCTGATGAATCAAGAAATTATTTCCAACTGCTTCAAGAATATATCTCTGAAAAAAGAAAAGCATTAATAAAACAAGATTACTTGCATATTACATTAGCATTTGGTTGGCAAGGACCAATATTTATCTAATAATCAAGAAAAATTTAAATTAAGAGCTTATGTAAAGGAAACTCAGAAAAATTTAATCTCTCATCAACAATCAAATGATTCAATAATTTTTAGTTGGCATGATGAGTCACTATTTGTTTAGATATGCATGATAATCAACTTAATTGCCTTTTTGCGTATTTAATTAATTCGGTATATTTTAATTCTTTATCTTAAAGATAATATTTGTAAAGAAGAATTATCTATATTGCTTTTACTTCAATTATACAAGCTTGTGAAATTCATAATGATCATTTAGGATTCGTTTTGAACAGTTATTTTAATAGTTAGTATATTAAAAAATTATTCCTTTCCCATTTTAAAAGTTACTTTACATTTACTTTGCCTTGTGACACATACAATATTTGTAGATATTAGTACAAACTTTAGAATGTTTACACTGTAATATTCCTTAATTAGAAATTTCATTAGTCTCTCCCAACCCATATCGTTTCGTAGATCATTAATGAAACCCACTTACCGAAACACGTAACAATATGAAAGTTTTACATGTGTTTATTGCAACACCACCAATTGCCAGTAGTTTGGCATTCACGTAGATGTCAATATGTTGATAATAATAATTTAAATAACGAGTGTCAAATTCAATATCATTTGCCTTTCGTAACGGTGAATAATTGCATGTTTATAAGTACGTAAAAATATTAATATATCAATTAGAATAGAACCGAATACTTTGAATTTTTCAGTGTTCTAAAATATCCTGCTGATAAAAACAAAAAAGTTTGCGTCAGCAATATTTTGATTTTCATATTGTAAAATTGATAGTGCTAATAGAAATAGTTATGTTGATCTGTCGTCAAATGATCACTAAATCGATGATACAGATGCTTTTGTTTCAGATAATTCACATTAATGAAATAATAATATCGAATATCAATGGTTTAAAAGCGTCAGTTTATATCTATCAAATGAATTAAATATTGATTTCATCAATTAAATATTTTCTTTGATAGTCCAATTTTAGACCATGTGCAGTATAATATTACAACATAAAAATTCTATAATGCATTACAAATTCTATTTTCGTTCCTAATGTAGTTAGTATGCGAATATACGTGCATTTGTACTAAAACTCGCAACATTATTTTCGCTTGGGATCTTATGCGTGTTTGTGTTTTGTGAGTCATAATCTTTACATGTATGTATGATATAAGGATTATTAATGAACATAGAAAAAAGTACATGTATTATTATGCATCTATATGTGCGCCTTCTCTTTAACAGAAGTACATGCATGCAAGTTAGAAATATTGTGAGAATGCTACATGACGTATATGTACTTCGTTTCTTTATTATAAAAAGAGAATCTTTTAAATTCGCTAAAAAATATAACAAAGTACATTCTTCAAAGAATATCTCAAAAATGAATTTCCAAGACATGAATCGTTTTCTTGCATTTTTAACTGTTATTCTGTTTTCGTCCATGGTTGTTGCAACACCGATTCCTAAGTTGAAAAGAGATTCTGGTGCCGAAGGTGCTGCTGTTGGTTCTCCTGGCGTTAACAGTGGCAATGTTATTCAAATTCCTCTACAAGTACCAATTAATCTTTGTGGAAATAGTATTGATATTGTTGGTCTATTAAATGCTGCTTCTGGTAATACTTGTGTAAACGGTTAATTACTTCATCGGATATTAAATTATATATACATGTAACATGTGCTGCTAACCTTTTGTATCAAGAAGATTCTAACAATTATAGAAATATAGAAAAATAACTATGCATAATATGAGATTTTCTTACACATGTATTAAATATGTTTCTAATAGTTAGATAAATTATAAAGAAATGTAAAAAGAGTTGTTTTGTATATTTTATTTATATTATATTATTATATAAATATATTGAACATCCTTATTAGCTGATGGGATCATGTTTGCTATTTTTCGAATATCTCCAGCAGAATAAGATATTTTTTAAATATAAAACCTGAAAAAAAACCTTTGTGAATTTTCCACATTTAGTAACATAGAGTATCAATCTCGAGATTGACACAAATGGTAACGTTAATATTTATTGTAAATAATTAGCATTTGCGAATAGAAGGCATCAACAGCAAATTCGACTTGTTTTTTAATGAGTCTATAACCTTATAATTGAATTGTCACTTTATAGATTTCCAGTAAAACCTAGAAAGACATTGCGCAATAGTCAGCTCGTCCCATTGTGTGATGCATCATTAGAAATAAAATAGATAATACAAACACATGTTAACAGGTGATAATAACTATTTAATAAAATTCTATTCATTACATTATATAATTAGTTGAATATAGTTAAAATTCCTAGAAATTTCCTAGTATTTCTAAGGATTATTTTCCGAACTTCCCTCACTTTACTATATCATAATTGTATCTCACTCATTTACTCACTAATAATTTGCTTAATTTGCTATCGTATTATACATCGAAAGAAAGTTCCAAGTTCCGTATGATAAACCGACACTCCTAAAAAATACTCATTTTAGATAGACAGGCATTCCTACTTAAACAAATTCGATAAACAATATGCAAAATTTCGGTCTTTCTATAGAGGAACAAGAATGCGATATCATCCTTTGTACAATACACGCGATGTGAATGTTGGATTAAAAACATATATCGTGACCTGATTTTGATAAGATGATTCGAGCAATACACAAAAAATTCAAATTGATTGCAAAAATCTTGTTGAAGATGCTATTTATCAACTGTCTCATATAAGCAAATGCAAAATACATTTCCAGAAACTACTTGAGAAGTTTGAAAAAATGGACTCTTTGGGTACAACAACATTCACCACTTCTCTTGTAGATATAATTTCGCACTCGAATCATTTCATAAATGAATTAAAAATTGAAAATATCTATTACACATGATCCTATTGGTAATTATTTTTATTTTATTTTCTTAAAGTCTATTTTAATTAGTATTCTTTTTCAGGATCATTTATAATCTCTGAACTTGGCAAATAGAAGGCAGTAATAGCTAAAGAATACTTCATCAATTTTTGATCAAAGACAATCTTAATTGCCAATGTGAATTCTAAATCCTTGCTGAAATTCGTAATTCTCTTTTCCTATGCAAAAACATATTGCAGAAGAATTACATATTATTTCAAAAGACTAATGAAGTTCAAAACTCATAGTTGCAGAATGCGATTGCATTTTTTCAATATTATATACTTTCATGTCATCATATTTTTCACAAACAGCTTTATAATGGCATTAATATTCTAAACTCCGAGATATGGAGAAATTTTCAGGAGACTTTTGCAGAAAATGCGTTGGAGATATATCAGTCTCATGGCTTAATAGAAATACTATTAGAGACTGAAATAGTTGTGGAAAAAGAATCAATTATTAATGAATGGATTGTTTTGAAAGGGTGAAAGATTAAGATTACAATTTAGTGGATTGAGATAATATGGGAATAATTTATTGAAAATTTAAGAAAGGCTTTGGCACCTATTCTCGAATAAGGATTTTATTAGTTTTATTTTTTATTCACAAAAAAATGAAATAATGATCTATAATTATTATATATTACGTGCTTCTCCCCAATTATTTTCTTTAATAATAGTAATAATTTATTAATTACACAAATATTTGATGATAATGCAACTTCATAAACAATAATCATTACTACAATAAAGATAATTTAGAATTAACCCCCTCTATTCTTTCTTCCTTAATTTGCATGATCATTGACCTCCAACTAAAACTCCAACAACTTAGTTCACCACCAGATAAACGGGCCTTAAATATACAAATCAACTTTCATCAAACAACACCAATATGGGATCATTTGTAGGTGATGTAAACGATAATGACCAATCAATTCATAAGATTAACATGTATCTCTTAGATTGCGACACAACAAGTGATCAAATGAAGGATAAATAATAATCATTATAGTGGTGAAATGTGGGATTTTAATTTGTCGATCTCGCTATAGCTCCGTATTTCCTTAACGTTAATTGCCACCATAATCCAATCTAACTTTGCCTTTTGAATAAAGCATGTTTTTAATTAATTAATTTCCGTTGACTATTATTAGTATTTTAATTCTTTAGTCTTAAAAATAACGGTTGTAATGAAGAATTATCTATATTACTTTTGCTTCGATTATACAAGTCATAATGATCTTTTGATAATTTATCTTTCAATCCTTTTTGCTTAACAATTGCCGAAATTGTCTCGATTAATACTTGCGTTCCTTATGTAATATAGAGTAATGATTAGATAGGTAATGTGTAAAACCAATATGTATATGATATGCTTTTTGAATGAAATAACGAGTGTGGGAAAGTTTAATACTTGGAAAAGTATAATTTGAAGATAATTGCTTTTTTCCTTTGTTATTTCCAATATTATCCAAATCTTGTCAACAAGTGGTTTTATTCCTTCGACTGACAGAGTGGATGTGGCTTTTTGTCTCGTTAATGACTTTGATTGGTTATATCTAACTTTACCTTTGGGACATCGTGTTATTAAGAATTGTAACCTAGGATTCGTATTAAATAGTTATTTTAATAGTTGGTATATTAAAGATTATTCCTTTATTACTTTAAAAGTTACTTTACACTTTACCTTGCCCCTTGAAACATACAATATTGGCACAGACTTTAGAACCATTAGTAGCATAGTCTTTACAATAGCAATTTCGTTAGTCTCGTTTCGTAGATCATTTTTGAAACCTACTTACCGAAACACGTGCCAATATGAGAACTGTACATGTGTCTAGTGCAACAGCTCCTATTGCCAGTAGTTCGGCATCTGCTACAGATGCTAGTATGTTGATAATAACGAGTATCAAATTCAATATCATTGTGCTCTTCGTAACGGTGAGTAATTAATTGATTAACAATCAACTCTTTATTTCTATGAAACTAATTGTACAGTTAATTTTAGTATTTTACAATTTTGCGACATAATATCATATAATGCAAAAACTTTGAAGGTAGTTTAAGCTTTTATCGCTATGATAGTCATTACGTATCGGTATCGGTCTAATGACACACGACTTACATATTATAAGAATGTAAAAATATTCATACAACAATTAGAAAATGAACCAAATGCTCTAGAATTTCCCGTTGATATAAACAAAAACAAAAATCTGAGATTAAATCAACAAATTTTTAATTTTCAAATTGTAAAATCGATAGTACAAATAGAAATCGTCAAATTGTTGGAAATTAGTTGTTTAGTTCGCATCTTCGCATTAATGAAAAAAATAATATCGAATATCAATGGTTCAAAAGCGTTAGTTGTTATATCTATTAAACGAATTTAATATTGTTTCCATTAATTAAGTATTTTTTTTCATTTATAGTGGGAAATATGATTCCCATGAGCAGTACATGTATAATATTGCATGAATATGGTGCATGTCATCTAAGGTCATCAAGCATTTACATTTTATAAATTGAATAAACTTCTTAACTAAGAAGTAAATTCAATATAACAGGATATGGATTTAAAATTTTGAATTTACTTCTTAGTTAAGAAGTTTATTCAATCTATAAAATTAAATGCTGATGATATGCAGCTTACATTACAAATTCTATTTTCGTTCCTTATGTAGTTAGTATGCGAATATACGTGCATTGGTAATAGAGATTTTTCTAAAACTCGCACCATTATTTTCGCTTGGGATCATATGCGTGTGTTTTGTGAATTATCAACTTGTACATTTATGTACTATATAAGGATTATTAATGAACATAGGAAAAAGTACATGTATTACTATGCATCTATGTTTCTCTTTAACAGAAGTACATGTATTACTATGCATCTGTGTACTCCTTCTCTTTAACAGAAGTATATGCATGCAAAATATTAGTGAGAATGCTACATGACGTACATGTACTTTGTTTCTTTATTATAAAAAGAGAATCTTTTAAATTCGCTAAAAAATATAAAAAAGTACATTTTTCATGACATATCTCAAAAATGAATTTCCAAAATATGAACCGTTTTCTTGCATTTTTAACTGTTATTCTGTTTTCATCTATGGTTGTTGCAACACCGATTCCTAAGTTGAAAAGAGATTCTGGTGCTGAAGGTGCTGCCAATGGTTCTCAAGCACCTATACCAATTAATCTTTGCCGAGATGTTTATGGTATTCTTGGTCTCGATATTGGTGATAATACTTGTATAAGAGATTAATAACTTCATCGAAATGATATTATGTATTAGTAAATACGCATACCTTAATGTATAAAGACAATTTTTAGTAACAATAGGAATATGGCTGTGCATTATTATTGTCATTATGTATTAAAAGGTATTAATGTATTGAAAGGTAAAAAGGAGATGTTACATTACATACATGTATATTTATTCACAAAAATTAGTCATAAAAATATTGATCATCCTTTATTCCTGATAGATTTATATTTAGTATTTATGGTTTGCTATTTTTTGAATATTTTCTGCAGAATATGGTTATTTTTAAATATAAATAAAACTTGTAAAAAGTCTTTGTGTATTTTCTACATTTGGTAACAAGCATATCAATCTCGAGATCAATACAAATAGTAGCGTTAGCTTTTTTTGCAAATAATTGGCATATGCAATACAAATAAAGGGTCAACAGCAAACTTTTCTTTATTTATAGTATGATTTGTAACCTCATAATTTGAATTAACATTTTATAGATTCCTAGTATAGTATAACTTGGGAAGACATTAATAATCAGCTCGTCCAAGTGTGTGATACATAAACAATACAATTTTTATTGGATATGTTTCAATCAAAAAAATTTCCTAGTTTTTCTAAACATCACTTTCCGAAATCCCTCATATTATTATACTAATAATTATATCTCACCCACTAATAATTCATCAAAAAGTTCCGTAAAATAATCCGACACTCTTTTTCAGGGCGTCAAATATACATTTTAGACAAACAAACATCACTTTCTAAATTAAATTTCTATTTCTAATTTTTGACATAATTTTTAGAAATTTAATAATATCACATGATCTATTATAAATCATGTGACATAAAATAACATTTATTACGATTCACACTTTTTGCAGCACTGTATTTTAATAAAAAGTATTTTTTTATACAGATAAAAGGAATTTTAGTTATAAAACTATTTACATAAATAAATACTATTGCTATAAAACAGTTTTGAAAAATTTGCACAAACCAATCTCTTAAATTTCATTTTGTCTTCATGTCAACAGAAGGATGGATGATAGTCTGAGAGCAACGGATTAGTCATTATACCATCTAAAGTTACCACATCAATTTCATCATGATATTGTGCAGTCAATTCATTTTCAAGCACGGTTTTCCATTCAACAATTTGGCTATATCATCCAACATGATATTTAATTTCATCTGATCAAACGTGCTATTCATATTATTATCTTGCTTTTGTATATGTTCATGATCAATTAATGTTGTGTATTTTGTCAAAAAATCTTATTTATTCTTTTTGTTGTTCTTGGTGTGCCTTGAAATTAATGCCAGAAGAATTTGGTTCATAATGATTAAGAACTGTTAGTTTATTATTACAATGCACGGGATAATGGATTTTTGAGTGAATCCTGATCAAAACCAACAAATCTTTGAGGAATTTAGGCAACATATTATCTCGGAAAAAAAGGGAAATTTAATGCTTGTTGATAAATAATAATATTCGGATTGAAGTAATGAAGAAGAAGATTAATGCTGGCGAAATAGATTAATATTGACTGAAGAAAATCATAGTTGTCATCAGTAACATACTAGAGGTATGAGTCATGACATAATATTCACACTAGTCATTTTTTATTATTTGCCAGTAAAATACCATGCTATTATTCTATAAATTCTAATCAAAATATTTATTTATTGATTCATAATTACTTATGAAATAAATACAGTAATATAACTTAGATTTATAACTAAAATTAAGAAAATTTAAATTATTACAGTTCTCATCAAAAGTAATGGGAATCACATATTTATTTATAGCTCACTAAAAAAAAATAATAACAATATGAAACAAAAAAATAAAAATGCTAGACTATTGTAATAACTACCATAGAAAAATTAGTACTTAGTTATACATCCATTTCTCATCAGTATCTCTCCTATTCTATTTGGCATACTATTTACTAACCTCAAAAATACTAATATTTCAAGATTATCCCATTTGGACTTAATAAACTCTTTAAATATGCTATAAGTTACCTGTTTTTCTTATGCAAGTGTTTTATTTACTCTTTTTTTACTCATCTCTTCATTATTGACCAGAGGTTTTCAATTGGATTGAGATCTGGAGAGTATGATGATCAATCTAATAATTTTATGCCATGTTTCTCAAAGAAATTTTGTATTTTGCCAGTCATATGTTTTGAATTATTATCTTGTTGAAAAATCCAACCATGATCCATAATTCTTGGTGCATCTTCAACAAGATATTGAGAAAGAATTTATCAATATAGATCTCAATCTATAGTATCTGTAAATATATGAAATCTGATTCTTCTTCATTTTGAAAATATATCTCACACATGAATCTTGAATAGATGCTTGATAACAATGCATTCTGGTGACTCTTCATCAGTTTTATATCAAACTTTAATAGTATTTTGAAATATTTGAAAGATTGTTTCATCTGAAAAAACTATCCAACTCCATTTTTGATGCAAGTGATTTTTGGCCCATTCAATATAATATTCTCAGCAAGCTGAATTTAATAGTAATACAGATTTTAGTTGAATATATTGCTAATCAAGTTCTGTCAGTATTCTAATAATAGTTTATTCCAAAATATTTAAATTTGAATAGGAAGTATTGAGTTTTTCTGTGAGTTTATTGACAGGAATTCCACTATCTTTTTTAATAAAATTTTCTAATCTTTTCTTTTTTTGAGATGATAATTTAACTGGTCTGCCAGAATGAGAAAGAAGATCAATTTTTTCATTTTTTTTAATTTAGCTACATAATAATATACAATGATTTTTGATATGCTTATTATTTTAACTAAATGTACTAGTGTATTGTTACGGCGAATTGGTAAGTGGGTTTTCACTTTGATTCACCCTAATGATATAGGATTGGGAGAGACTGAAATAATTAAAGGTAAAGAGAGGGGAATTAGACTATAACTTTCAATAATGACAAAGATTTCTAAGGCCTGTGCCAATATCTACGG